TTTAAGAAAGGCGATATAGAAAATACAAATAATTACAGAGACATTACTCTCGTCAGTTGCATGGGGAAGTTGTTTACCTCCATATTGAATGAACGACTAGTGAATTGGGATGTTAAAAATAATGTATTCAACCGTTGATGCAATATTTGTACTTCAGACTTTAATTAAAAGATATTTAAGTAAAAACGGTGGTAGATTTTACTGTTGCTTTGTTGATTACAAGAAAGCTTTTGACTTAATCGACAGATCTCATATGTGGTGCAAATTGATTAAGCAGGGTGTTAGAGGGAAAACGTTACGTATGATTCAATCGTTGTATATTTCAGTTAAGTCATGTATAAAGCACAATGGTTTGTATTCAGATTTTTTTTTCAAATACAATCGGTCTATTTCAGGGGGAAATTTTGTCACCCATTTTATACACAATGTTCGTCAATGACTGTGAAATTCATTTTATAAAAGAAAATTGTCCATCTATTGAAATTAATTTAATTAACATTTTTCTTTTAATGTATGCTGATGACGATACGGTGCTATTTGCAGAAACGCCAGAAAAGTTACAACATATTCTGGAAGCTCTGAAATCATATAATTACAAGTACAAACTCAATTTGAACACTGATAAGACGAAAATGATAGTTTTCATGAATGGTGGCGGGATAAGAAACAACGAAAAATGGTTTTACGACACTAAAGAGCTCCAAGTCGTCGATCAGTTTAATTACCTATATATAGGCATGCTCTTTAATTACAATGGTAAATTTTATGTCCCTCAAAAGCATGTTGCAGATCAGGGTAATAAGGCATATTATGCGCTTTGTAATACATGTAAGATCAAAAATCATAATTTTAAAATCAAAACACAATGTTCTGTATTCGACACTTATATTAATAGCGTCTTTAGTTACAGTGCAGAAGTATGGGGTTTTCATAAAGCTCTTGATGTTGAAAAGATACACATACATTTTTGTAAAAGGCTACTCGGAGTCAAGAAGAGTACGTGTAATAATTTAGTTTATTGTGAGTTAGGAAGATTACCATTGTCTGTATGTAGAAAACTGATTTTTTTGAAATATTGGTTAAAATTAAAAACTTCGAATAATTGCATTTTAAAAACATGTTACGAGGAAAGAATTTTGTCAAATGGTAATTGGATTCTAGATATCCGCACTGAACTCAACAAATTGGGATTACCTTACCTTTGGGAAAATGTTAGCAATGATAGAAATATCTATACAGCCATTGAGCAAAGACTTTTAGACTTTTACCGGCAGGAAATATTAACTAATATCCAAACAACTCCGAAAGGATTCCTTTATCAACATCTAATAGATATTTTTTCTGTGCAATCATATTTAATAAAACTAATTAATAACTCATATACAAAGACTTTAGCTCGCTTTAGACTTAGCTCTCATAATTTAAATATTGAACTGGGAAGATATAGAAACCTTCCTAGAGAACAAAGATTCTGTAACTTATGTAACTCTAATGATATTGAAGATGAGTTTCATTTTATATTAAAGTGTAACTTTTATAACGTCTTAAGGCGCAAGTTTATTAAGTCTTTTTATTACAAACGACCGAATTGATTCAGTTATTTACTACTCAAAACATTAAGGAATTGAATAAATTAGGATAATTCCTGTTTTTTTAGTTTAAAACGTCGTAATAGCACTGTATAATATTTTATCTCATTTTTCCTGTAAATGTTCATTCAAGTATACCATATTTGATACGATATTTGTATTATGTCATGTGTTTTGTGTAAAAAACGATGATTGTGCCCGTTCATTACCTTTCCTGTGTGATATAAAATATATGGTAAATTAATCATAATCAACAACGTCGAAACATCGACGAGTATTTTCTATATTATAATATCACTGTCACCTTATGTCAGGTGTAACATCGTATTTATTACACTATGGCAGTGTATTTTACTGTTCTTGCCGTTCTACTAGAGTGTATTTATTCGTGACATATGTGTGATACAATGTATGTAAATATACTAGCAGAAAAAAGAAACTGTGCATGCCTAAAATGTGTTTTAAAAATAAATGTGTATGACGTAGAACAACAAGGTTTTCAGGGACAATTCATTTGTTATTTATTAACAGTTGCATTCCATTTTCCACGTTATGGAATCAATAAGTTCCGCTCAGGAGTGACGTAAACACAGCAGGGGTCAATACTGAGTTCACAAAGTTAAAACCTCGCATGTCCACCATTTGCCTGAATGCAAGCCTTGCAACGTTGACGCATGGAGCCTATCAGACGGTTCAAGAATGCTTGTTGGATGGCATTCCAGATCTGTACCAACGCTGCAGGCAAATCAGCCAACGTTACCGGTTGAAAAGGTAATGCCCGTAATCTGCGCTTCATTTCATCCCAGACGTGTTCAGGGCAACACGTCAACGTTCTGTTGGGCCAGAAAGTCCATAACGACATGAGCTGTGTGTGGCCTGGCGTTGTCCTCTTGTAGCGTAATGTGACGTTGCTGCCCTTGCACGAATGGAACGACGTGGGTCCGGAGGATCTCGTCACGGTAACGTAGCGCGTTCAAATTCCAGTAACAACCACCAGAGGCGTTCTCCCGTTGGCTGTGATGCCGCCCCAAATCATAACGCTGCCTCCGCCGAAAGAACGTCGTTGTACCACACACGCGTCACGGAAACGTTCTCCAACGCGACGATACACTCTGGAACGGCCGTCACTACTACAAATGTATCCAGATGGACTCGCGACTCGTCCGTAAACAAAATGCCTGCCCAATCCCGTCTAGTAAATCGCAGATGCCTTCTGCACCAGTCCAGACGTGCTACATGATGACGTGGCAGAAGAACTGCGCGGATTGCAGGACGTCGCGGACGGATAGCTCGTTCACGCAATCGGTTCCGTGCAGTTCTCGGGCTTATTGGTAGCAACCCAGGGATTGTCCGTGCAGTCAAACTTGCCGTTTGGGAGCGATTTCTCAAATGGACAAGTCGAATATGGTTGTCCTGTTGACGTCACACGTGGACGTCCCGCACGAGGTCGATCGCCGACGTGGCCAAACTGTTGATGTCGTCTCCACAAATCCCGGATTGTGTTTCGATGGACATGAAAACGTGTAGAGACAACGGCTTGGCCCATACCAGCTTGAAGCATACCAATAATCCGGAGGCGGTCATTTTAATTGAGCCTCGGCATAGCATTAATCACAAATTAAGACGTTATAATGCTGTTTTTACTGTTCACTGGTCTCAACAGAGTGACCCAACAGTTGACAAATAAACTTTCATTTTCGAATTGGATGGCTAGACGAGAAAAACGTGCAAACTGGTCAACACCTATAGAGAGCAAACTGCACGGGAAAAACTGTCAATGACACACGGATAGTGTGTATGTGTCATACTCGGTCATGTGTGTGAATATTCATGTATATACAGTTGGTAATACATATTCTATAACAATTCTCCGCATGCACAGTTTCTTTTTTTTCTTTAGTATATATTAATCCAGTTATCATTACCTGTAACGTACGTCATTGAAAGTTATCATAGCAGTATTATCATTGTAATATACTATTATTATGATTTCACTGTATCGGAACCTTACGATGATGGTGTATTTCAGTGTAAAATGATGTCTCTTAATATATATGTCATTTTGAAGTACTGCACGATTAATGACTATTATTGTATACCCGTATCATTGTACATTTGTAATATACTCTACTCTCCGATGTGTGTTACACAAGGAATAAAACAATCTGAGTCTGACGATACTCCAGGCTAAACACCCTGAGAAGACCCCGTTCGTCCTGCTATCGTGGCACCGATCGGCAGAAACGCTCTTTAACTGGGAGCTATGTGAGCGTGCAGCATGTATATACCTTCACAGTGAAAGGGGAGAGCTTGGAACAGTCGTCAACCGGTGCGCGAGCTGAAAGGTTAAAGCAGATCTAGACGACACTATTGATGGAGAGCCTACGATGGATTATATTGGCGGGAAAGATGTAAAGGCGGGATTATACTCAATCCGCTCTCCTCGCCAAGGTTTGGACAATTATTTGCATCTTACATCGCCTTAACCTAATTATGCCTCTTCACCTGTGTTTAGCTCCTCGTGGAGTAGGCTTCAATGACAAAAACTAGGAGTATACATTTCATTATAAATAGGAAGGACGTTTGTCGGTTTGATGATACATGCTTAGTTGCCGTCTCCTAAGGAAATTAAATGTTAAGTAGACATAGAATGATTCCACCTTGTGGTACAATTTTTATCTAGATATAAAAACGTGCGGCTGATTGAACTCTGCCGATGCTTCTGGCTGGTTAATTACCGGTAATGTTAACTAATTACTTGTAGATATCGATCGAAACGGCGAACTTACCTGAGAGAATATCGAGGAAGTTAAAACAAATGCCAGAGTGTTAAAACAATGACTTGTGCACATTTTAATGTTTCCTAGTGAAGATTCAAAAATACCGATGAGAAGTTGTTGGTATTGACGCTCAGAGCAAACCACATATCAGCGTGAAGTCGCCTTCTGGAAGACATCTATTGGAAGGTTTTTGATGCGCATTGCCTTGAACTAATCGCCGCTATGCAGTGATCGTTTTGGATATGGCCTGTCAAGGATAACTGATCGACGATATTGTTTACTGAGTATACCGAGTATATTGGAGACGTTCTCGTCAGTGACTTAGCTTTAGTATTGACGCGCCTCATACATACATTGATAGGACTAGAGTTTGTCGATATAAATATCACCACTGTTTACAACAGTACATATGGTGTAATTGTGCGAATTCGATACTGATACTCTCGAGTTCTCATCACTCCTGTCGAGGTTATGTTTAGATTCAATTAACTTTTAATATTCGCGAGCTCAAATTTTCGTGAGTTTGCACGTAGTAAATATTAACTACATTATTGGAAGATTGTACAATTATTAATTTTCTCCAACATTCTGGAACTCTTTATATTTTTTAATTAATTTAAATCAAGACATTTCTGGGAGTGTTCCGATGAGAAATAGTCCCGATGTCAGCTTTTGGTCTGTTTTGATGTAGTTTTTGCGCGTGTGTATAATTTCGAAACTATTTTCGGTTGAATACGTATTTGTGTTATTCGTGTGTCAATTTTGGGATTTATTTGTTAGTGAACTTTTAATCAGCCATGAATTGGTCGTACGATTATTACAACCCGAACTTTTCCATTCCCTTTATGGACCTTAATGGCGAGTTCGAGGATACCCTGTTTGAGTACCATAAACCTGAGAAGATTGCCCTTCTTTGTATCTATATCCCAGTGTTCTTCCTGGCCCTAATAGGGAACACGTTTGTTCTAGTCATGTTGTGTATCAACAAACGGTTCAGGAGGAACATCGCCAACTTCTTCCTCGTCAATCTGGCTATCGCTGACCTGCTGGGTAAGTACTTCTAATGTACATAGACTTTACTTATTAGTTTTATATTGCATAATGTACTGTATACTTCACTTATATACTGCATTAATACTTAATATGTTCTTAACATACACTTCCATACACTTCCTATGTGAATAGTACAATTTATACAAACTGCGAATAATATACTATATGTGCCCTACAAGTGTGGTGTGAGTAAACTTTGTTTGCACTTCGTGCAAAGTAAACTTCATGTATACGGCTTATACAACATATATGTATCTTGTTGTTTCTGCCTCCATGTCTTTACTTGTACAAAATACAAATATACTGAACACAAACTGCGCATGTACTGTTTTTTTCATTCATTCATGTGCTACATACACTTAAGTTGTACTACACTTATACTTCATATATACTGAAAATATACTGTCGGTATCAAATAAATGCTATATGCTTCCCGTTCTAATCGAGGATACGGGAAACTGGATAAATACATTATTGTAAGATTTTTACGGGTGATCTGAAAATTTGCATTAACGGAGAAACATGTTTTCCGGGCTAACGAGTCCGGGATTTATACTGTTCCACAAACGTGTAAGCGTTTTACAGGATCTGCATTCTAATAAGCGATATACTATTACGTGAAATTTATCTTACGTTCAACTGTCTCTGTATTGAAGCGATGGAGCAATAGCTCGATAAATGGTATTATATATGAAATCAACAAATCTATTTCGACCCGTAGTCTACATCCGCTTCCGGTTCGATATCCTGCTATTAATGGAATCCTCTTCATCTAAGTGTACTTATTTAGAGTAAACTAGTCGATAATCATGTGTTATCAGCTTGCCAAGTACATTTACGTACATACATATCGCTGCTTAATCAAACAAAGCAATGGAACACGTGCACTGCTATGCACTCTTTATTTAGACAAAGGTCATGCACTATAGTACTTAAGTTCTAAGGCCAAATAAAGTTATGTTCTGGTTTCTATAAGTTAAAGTAACATAGAATGAAATAAACTTCTCAAAGAGCAAACATGCTGAATAAAACATGTACAGTTACTTTCCAAGTCAAAAACCTATTAAAATACTGATGCAGTAAGAGGAACTATATAAGGCACAACGATTCTAGCATTAATTCCACTTGGTAAACCCCGGAAACTCTAAAAGAAAATTACACGAAAAATGCCTCTGGCCACAGCAAGTTAATGTGTCGTGTACCGAGTTTACTCTGTGCTCCGCTGATCGGTGTAGGTTATAAACTATTTCCCGCTTTACACTTTGATATCAAAGTATGTCGCCGATTTCCGAAAGATTACTTAATTATGTTCTGTGGAGAAAAAAAAAGAAAGCTCGATGACGTAAAAAGTACGCATTTATTATAAATGTATTTTACAATTACAAAGGTGGATTAAATTCTAAGTACTTTGATCATTCCGGGAAATGTATCCTATGACGGACACTTGATAGCGTGCATGACCAAATAAGGCATCACGACGTTACGGGTGTTTTATCGGTAAGTGCTGCGACAACAAGTCAGTTCCCCCTCACCGGGGTCTGTGTAACGTTAGGCATGACGTGTCTGGACGAATAGGACCTGATAACAACACATTTTCCTGCATTATGTACCAGTAAAGGCTATTTATCTTCACCCTTTTTATGTCTGGCTCGACAGAATTATCAGTAATTTACTCTTCTGTCACGATTCATCCTTATATAAAATAAATAAATCAATAATCCTTATTTTCTCCTTATGTCACTGTCTATATACCCACTATTCGACCCCTCCGTTAGCAAGGTATTATCTAGTATTATTAACATCCCGCGTGGTTGGTAATTGGTTTGTATAACATCTTTCTGGTTATAAGCAAGAATATATTGATAACTCAAACCCTTTAGAATTCAGATATATCCAACTTTTCCTTTACCAATAACGCGATTCCAACTCTGCTTTCATCAACAAATGATTTACGGAAAGTAATCTTCTTAAATTCAAGGTTAATAACTCCTATGTGTTCAGAGCAGAATACTAATTGACCGCGTCCTCACTTTTTTTAGAAACATAAGACTGGATTACCTGCCTTAGTACAATGTACCATTTCTCTTCGCTGGACTGCGCTCTTTGATATTATTTTTGAAGCGTAACCTGGCGGAGAGTTGAAAATCTAAAGTAGGTATGTTTAAGGTCTATTTAGGGACCAAGATATTTCATAACAGTCTCACAATATTAGCAATATCAGTAAAATACACAATATTCTCGCACATCTAAATCGCTTTTAAATTATTATCCAACCGATTGGAGAAAGGTACCACGGAGATGTGCACGCTCTCTGAATGTTTTTACGAGTTGTACAACTGAGGATGGATTGAACGATAAAATGTTGCTTAAAAACGCCGAATAGAACCCAAATGGAAAATTGGATCAGCACATGGTAATCTAATGTAATTATATTAGAAATTGGCGTGTTTCCGAATCCTCTTCTTATTATCGATTAAATGTTGTTCATCATTGTAAAGAAAATACAAATATAACATTGTTTACAGCGTATCTTCAATGATAACTTCAGAATCAAGTAACAAGGCCATTTATAGAGTTTAGACAGTGATAGGAATTCTCCACACCGAAACTGTGCTATCGTTTTATTGAATACAGATCAAACACCAAACCGTTTCGTTGTGTCATTATTAAGACTAGTATTGTTTAGACTTCCGATTTATGTTCCAGTCTGTATCGTCGATCTCCATATTTTGTTATACAACAAATAATTCACTAGCATTCACTATCTTTAAGATGATATCACATCATATTATTCATTTAACGTGCAAGTTGATTCCCCATGTCTGCATACACACGGAATATTAAAACATTACACACAGTAAAGTAGGCTATTAAACGAAATGTAAGCGTAAAACTTTCGACGGGAAGGCAAACCAAACATGCTTTGTGTCAGTGATGATATTAACTCGTTATAGGTTGACAGAATTATAGCTTTAGTACTTGTATACTTAGAACCTCATTATAACGACCAATATTATTTCCGCGAATCCCATGTTTACAGACAATAGGGACTTTGCAGGTATTCCTATTGAATTGTACGTGCTGTCTTGTAACAAATGTATGTACATTCACTTTACCGGTTATTTTTCTGATGATGGTGACAGGGTACACACATAAACACTTCAATGGTTGTGACACACGAACCTTTCTATAGTCCATACGTTACTGTGGCTGTGTTTGTTGTTGACGACAACATATCACTTGATGAGTTCATACGATCGTGGCTACATAGACAAACTACTGAAAATGAATTCCTATGTATTGTAGTTAAATAAGAATTGATTACATCCAAATGTCTTCGAAATAACCTACAAGGTATGTAAATACAGAATGATTTGTGTTATTCTAGAAATTAAGGTCAATCAGAGTCCTATTTTTTCCCTTAGGTTCATTGTCAAAACGAGCCCAGACAGGACACGGCAAAGATATTGATCGAATCTATAATTGATGGGTTTGTGAAAAGCGCTTGTCATGTGTAAATTAGGTTATACATTTCTACTTTCTTACAGACACAGAGGAGATGTTTTATTTGCATTTTTAAATCCACACTAGTATTCAAAAGAAAATTGCTTTAAAATCTATACTATTTTCTTTTTGTGCATTAAAATGGTAATCATAGCATGCTTTACAGGTTTGTGACGTTCATAATTCATGTAAGAAAGTGCATACGCGACACATGTATGTATATACAATGTATATGACAGGAATGTTATTGCGTTTGCAATGCAATGGAAATAAACTGTTCATGTATGTTTACGGCACGACCGTTAGTGAGGGCGGAGCCAGGTTGTAAATGTATCGGACTATCGGTACTGTACTCTTTCAAGCATTGAGTGATATGTTAAATTACTAAATCGGACCTACATGTATAGCTATACAGTGTATATTTGTCTTGACTTTGAGTTTGATGGAAGACTGAAAAAACTTGTATAACTAGGCCTCTTGAAAACTGTCGCTGAATCAGAATGAAATGCCTGTAAACATAATGAAAGGTCGCAGTTGGTATGCTGAGGGAGTTAGAAAACAATTGAGTAAACTGCATTTGTACATTTACGTAAAATAGGTTATTGTCAACACGTTAACACACACACTTACCATGCTACCTTTCCAGGTTGGTCTTGTTGCTATAACATGTATAAGTAGTTGATATATGCTCCACATTTTGAAAATCGACAAAATGATAGGATATGCTTCTATCTAGCTAAATTCATGATGATATATATATATATGGAATTTATACAAAATAACACAAGAATGTTTTTTGACCAAGATTGGTTAAACATTGTCTTTAGTTCTTGAGAAGTCAAACATGTTAAAAGTTTACTAACACAAAAATAAAGAAATGGATGACAAAGTTTGATCGGGAATTTCCCTGGTTCAGACGAGTTAAAACGTGCAGTTAGCGACTGGCATGTCACCCACTTATACAATTGTATATATACAAAATGGAATTTGCTACATGTATTTGCTTAGGTAGTTACAAATTAATTTCGCTTGAAGTCCCAAGTGTCATTCTCATTGAAATTGGACTCGGGATCATTTATTGCTTCTTCAAATTGAATTGCTCGTTTTACTTCTATGTCACTAGCGACAGACAAATACAAGTAATAATACCATTTATTTAACAGCACATCATTAGGATGCACTCCATCATACACATCTTTGTATGATGTCTTCATACATTTTTTTGATGTATTGTTTTTCTACCACGATTCTTTGTGGAACATAACAAAAGGTCGCGATCCCATCTCACAGGTGTGGTAAAAGCAAGTAATGCAGAATTAATAGTTTTCAAATCTTCCTCTAAGTGTTTTTGCTGTAGTTGTCTTTCCTCTTCTGAATACATAGAATACTGCAGTTTCTTTTCAATGTATTGACATGACGAATTTTTTCAAGAGAAACAGATGAAAGACATGTGAATTTCACAAAAACATTTTCAAGTGACTGAAATTCAGAAA